TAAAAGTTTAATTAATAATCAAAAGTTTTACGATTTTAAAAAGAGTATATGTATTCTTAAAAGAATATGGCTGATAAGTCTACTCATGACGTGTGTCGACGGTCGATTGCGCGAAGATTTACATTCTTGCTGTGATTCTTTTCGGATTTTTTCTTGCCAGGCTTTCTATTCTCGGTGAACTTTGATTTTTAATCTTTCAATGTCACGTATTATCAGTAAATATCACCTTAGGTCTACCAATATAAGATTAACTTATAATCTCGGTTCAATTATTTACTCGATCTTAATCTTTTTCTTATTCTTTTCTAAAAGAATTAGAAAAAGATAAACAGTAAATTAAACTAAGATTAAACTTAATCCATAATCTTACATTCTTATATTAGTGGAACTGAAACTAAAAGTAACATAAGGTCATGTTGCTTTCTTCACACTCAATAATTTAACTATTATATATTATAATATGCGTATGTCGTGTTATATTATTATTTATATTGTTAAATGTGAAATTATAACACACTGATGTGTCATAATTTTTTATTTTTAGTTAGTGTTTACTAGTGTCACGAGTGCAACACACTGGTTGCATTCAGCAGAAAAACTATTTTGCAAGTATTGTAAAATTTTTTAATATGATTAGTTCTTGCTTGTAGTTCCTCATTGACTCTAAGTGCATAAATCATATTGAAAAATTTTGCAACAGTTGCAAAGCTGCTTTTTCTGCTGGACGCACCACTGCATAACTTGATTGCTATAACTTTCATAAAAATGAACATATTGTAAAAAAACAAATTTTTTTTTGAGACTAGATTAAAGAAATTTTTTTCACGTTAGATTAAAGAACGTAATAATAATAAGTAAACGTCATATGTATGCTTATTAATAAAAATGTTATACAATAATAAATTAATAAATTAATAATACAATAATAAATTAATCGATTTAAAAACTTATCCGAATATAATCAACTATAATATCTGTATTTATCAATGTAGATTAATTTTAATGTTTACAGTAATTTAATTTACTCTTTGTTCTCTTCTAATTCTTAAAACTAAAAAAAAATAAAATAAATTAAACCAAAATTAAAGTTAATTTACATCAGTAAAAATGGCTATGGAAGCAAATTAGAAGCTAATATCATCGAGATCTTGCTTAACATTGTTTGTATGTAAATGTAAATTTTAAATATAACCTTCAGTTATATAAACCGCTTACTGTGGAACTTGAAATGCAATCATAAAAAAAAACTGAAGCTGAAACAATAACACAATTAACTTGATCATTGATTTAATAATGCTACTAACATCTTGAAACATTGCAAAAAAAGTTACAAGCAATGAAGTAAAGAAGTTTCGAGAACAATCACATTTTTTTAAATAAGGTAAGTATACTCGGAGTAGCATTTACACAAGTATATCTGTATAATATTTGACTCCGTAAATACTAGCGTCAGAATTACTAATTAATCTACAGAATTACTAATTAATCTAAATAGACACTTCTATTTTTACTTTAGCTTGTTTACGCTTGGCCTCGATATAAAAAAGCATGTATTAAAGATAAAAGATAAATAGATTAAAGACAAAAGATAGCTGTGAAACCATTTGAGGATTGAAACGCGAGACGGGACTGAAATTGAACAATGCTCGTCAAGAGTGAGGGATAAAGCGGGAGAGTGGAGAGGTGGAGAGAAAGAACAGAGGAAGAGGAGAAAGATCGTTTATAAAAACTGTTAAATTATGAAAGCGTTTATTTAATCCGCGATATTCCCGATGGTTTCACTGCGAAGTGTCATCGTGATAAATCGTTTGACGTGTACGGGCTTCGAGAGGCCGCGATATTGCGGAAAAGAGTGGGTCAATGAACAAGGCGATAAAAATGCAATTGGAAAATGTGATGAGAGACTGGAGAAGCGGAGAATCGCTGCGTGCTGCACCGAGAAACACTGTCCACAAATGTATGAGCTCGTAAAACCTCGCCGCGTACAGTCGTACACGCACACAGGCGTGTGTATGCGTCACGCAAGATTTTTTTCAGCGATAAAGCGGTTCGCCATGTATACATCGCTCTACACACGTTTCTACTTTTATAGATTCTTTTTACGTATCTGTGAATCTGTGCTCGCGCGCGCCGAACCCGATGAGCGAATCCGCTCTCGACGATCGGCAGAAATGAAAACAATAGAAGGAAAAGTAGAGGTTCCGAGCGCACATTGTGCGATTTCGAAGATTGTACCTCGAACAGACAGTATTATATATCCCATACCGTTCTGAATAATAAATACATTCATGTAATAAATAAATACACGTCCTACATAAGTTTCAATTCCTTTTGTTCATGTATGTTCAGTATTCAATACCACAACACTGCGATACGATTGGAGATCAGTTTTTTTTATATGTACAATATTAATATACACGGTGGGTACTAAGTACTCTAAAAGATTTTAAACAAATTCTTTACACAAATTCACGACTAAATTTTACATGACCGAGAGAGCCTAATTTGGAGAATGCAAGGTGCCAAAGTTGAAAAAAAAATTTTTTTTTCAAAAATTAAAAAAAACGCACTGGAATTATTTTGATGAAGCTTTGTATTTTCAAAATATGAAGTTTCAAAATAACTCGAATGGTTTTTAAGAAATTTTTGAAAAAAAAACGAAACTTTTTTCAACTTTGACACTCTGTATCTTTGAAATTAAGCCGTTTTAGATATATAGTTATGTTAGTTTTTTTGTTTTGAATTTATATGAGAATTAAATCGCTTAAAATGTTTTAAAGTATTTAATATCCACCCTGTATATATCTTATACATATACAATTGATTATACAAGGTGGACCAACGAAAACTCTTCTCTTTTGTAACTGCTCTTTTATAAGACTAATTTGTGTGAAATATACAAAAATATCTCTACTAGATATATATAAGGTGGATATTAAATACTCTAAAACATATATATATATATATTTTTTTTTAAGTGATTTAAAATTCTCATATAAATTCAAGACGAAAAACTAACATAATTATATATCTAAAACGATTTTAAAAATACAGAGTGTCAAAGTTGAAAGAAAAGTTTCCTTATAATAATAAAGTTTCTGAAGTTATATCGACATTTGAAAACATTTTCCAAATACATACATCAGTTAATTATAAAAAACTGGGAAAGTTTTTGTTGACTCATCTTATACGTATACCTATATAAAAAATAAAATATACTTATTCATAATTATACAATTAAGTTATATGGAATTATATTTAGATACATAAAATGTAAAATTAAATAATATATTTCATTATTATATATTGTATACTTTATATTTATAAAAATATTTTATATACATAATCGTATGTTTTATTGTATATAAAATATAAAACTGTATATATTTTATATAAAATCTATTGCAAAAAGAAAAATACGTAATATTACTTGTGTGTGCATGATTTCATTAAACATTTGAGAATATCATCGATTTGTATGAATAGCGAACATCACGTACAGAATGACGTAAATTTTCATGAGATTGCTTTGATAAAAATAAAATTTGCTTCATAATAACTAATTCCTGTCGGAAAGTAACTCTTGGCAAAAATTTACGTCATCCTGTGATTTGATTATATTATCGGCATGTGTGATCCGGAATAAAAGAATTAAAAAAATACATTCTTAATTGCTCGCGCGCGACGTTGCCTTCATATTAATAATAACATTAATGATAATTTGACTACGTTCTGGAATAGTAGAAGCCAATTAGTACACGATTAAAGATAACGCATTGGCTTTCCTTTGATTGATATAAAATTAAAAGAATAAACATAACGATATCGATTTGAATATAGCAGCTAGATAATACTAATCAGTTGACTAATCGTTGACTAATCAGTTGACAGAATCGTATACTTATTTTTCATTAAATTTATCTCAATCTTGACTGATCTTGTATGTATAGTCTTAATGATAAAGAGGAAGCATGTGGCTTGGCCGAGGGAAAACAATTGTTTTATCACTCTCTCTCTGCATCGAACACTTAAAAACTGACGTACATAACGTAATATACTGACGTATATAATGCAACGAACAGAATCTCGAGGAACTTTTGTTAGCAACAGCTTTATTCTCTAAAAAATATACGTAAAAAATATATGCGTGTTAAATAAAAATTAAAGCTATTAATCTACATTGATAGAAACATAAGGACTATTATTCTACCAATGTAAGATTAACTTCAATCTCGGTATATTTTTTTCATTATATATTATCATTTATTTTTTTCTAATTCTTCCTAGTCAGAAATGATTGGTCGATCAATGTTAATTGATACTGATTCAATGTCGATCAACCAATCATTTCTAACACTGGGTGAGAAAAGAATAAAGAATAAATTGAATCGAGATTAAAGTTAATCTTACATTGATAATTGAGCCTAAATTGCAATCAAGAGTTCTCATTAATTATTAATTTAACAAACGTCATATTATTCATGCTGATTAATATGAGAATTGCAACGCGCATCGCAACGATGAACATGTATAATATTGTATATCTTCATTTTATTATTATAAAAAAGTCTACATATCGCTGAAGCTAGAAAAAAAGGGAGAAATAAAGAAAAACGAGTGAAAAAAAGAAGATAGAAGAGAAAGTGGCGAAAAGAAGAGGAAGGGGTTATGACAAAGAGAGAGAGGGAGATAGGAAGAGGATGAGAGAGAGGGAAAAAAAAACATTTTCTTTCTTTAGTTATTTTCATAGATGTTTTTTACACTTTGGAATTTAAAATGAAGTAGATAATACATGTTTGATATTCGGCTAAAGCAGGCTAAAGTAAGAAAAAAGATTCTAATAGTAGCGGTCTATAGTGCAGGAAAAAAAACATCGGTCCGAGCGTCCCGAGAAGATCAGCGTAGTGCCATCTAGTATCGTCGCGTTTAATGTATACAAAAAACATAACGCGACGATGGATGCGGCTGCGAGCTGCAGGCTGCGGGCCGTCACCGCTCCGCGTCGCTGGCGTCGCTGCGTGCGTCAACGCGCTCCCCCGCACTTGGTCGCACCGCACGTCAACGTTGCGCGATCGCGAGTCGTCGCCGTCAGTTTCCGTGCCTCTTGTGCATGATTATTTCGCACGTCGGTTCATATTGACGCAAGGTAAACCATTGGAAACGAGGGAGAATTCGAGAAGCCACGATCGCATTTCTCGCGAGTGCACGTTCGACCCTTGCGCTAACTTTGCGTCGTTCGACAATGGACTCGCGACTGTGTGTGCAAGCATATGTGTGTGCGTGCGTGAATGCGTGAATGCGTGAGATCGCATCATCTTCCGTCCCGTACCTTCGCGTTACCTTATCCGGTAACCAGGTGATACGCGCGATCCTCGCTAAGGAATTCGCGCTCATGCGCGTACATGTGCATGATGCTTAATTGCGTGTTTATGTATGTATGCATGTATGTATGTGCGTCAAACGCGATCTAGTTAATGGGTCATATAAATAATGCAGATTGTATGCCCTTTGTTTTTTGAAGGAGAGATTCAAAATAGAATAAGACATCTATTAAAAAAAAAAACGTATGAAAACGATCGCTTGTTGTCAAGCCAAAAACGTTGAAGTGTCTTGTTGTGCTCGAAGTACCCTATATGTCAAATAATTGTGTAGAATAACATTTGATGTATTATATTTTTAAGAGAATTTTGGAGACTTTTGTTTACTAATAATTTTTTTATATCTGAATTATATGACGTAAAAAGTCCACATTTGCTTGTTCTGACTTGCAATATAATTTAATTTATACAATATGTTTATGTATATTTCAAACTTATTTTATATTTTGTGCTATAGTTTCTAACATCTTACATTTTGGATAATCATACATACAAAAGTAATAAGTATCATAATAAGATAAAATAGCTGTTACTTTTAAAAATAAATTAAAACATTATTATATAAATAATGTATACTTGTTTGTTGAGAAAATACCTTAAAAAAATAACTCATATTTGAAAATTATTTTTTGAAAGTTAAGCAATTGATGATAGCTATTTTTCATCATATATTTGTAAGTAATAGTTGCACTTGAAAAATCTGTTATTTAATTGTTTTAGGCAAATTTTTGTTAGGAAATGGCAACAGAAGGCAATAGCAATGATCCTGAATTGCGTTTATTACGATATCTGTATGTTGGAAAAGATTACCCCAATTACCAGCCTGGATATTGGTTTGCCCATCATTACTTTATAGTCAGGAATGTTCTAGCCATAGAAGAACTTGCTGAAGATAAGGAGAAACAATTGGTACCCATCGAATTAATCACAAAGGTAAAAGGCATAAATTGCAAAGGCATAAAAAGTATTTACAATAATAGCCTATCCTTAAATTATAACTGTTTGTAGGCATTTAAGAGCAATTTAGTTACACATCCAGAGGCTTTGGTATTTGCCCTCGCTGTTTGCTGCAGACAAAATAAAAGCGAGACACTACGTCACGCAGCATACGAAAGTGTACAAACGATTTGTGCATCTACTCCAAATTTTATTCTGTTTGTTAAATTTGTTTCCAAACTGTGCAGAGAAAAAGAATTGAATTATATTACACAAGGCTGGGGCCATGGCTTAAGAAAAGCTATTAACAATTGGTACTTATCTAAGAAACCATTAGATTTTATAGAATGTGTCACAAAATATAAAAGTAGATATGGTTGGAAACACAAAGATATTGTCAAGATGGCTCATCCTCTAGGCAATTCTCCAGGTAAATTTACAAAATTATGATTCATGAGGAAAGCACAAATCCATTACTAGTTTTAGCTTTATTAATCATTTTTTTCTTTTTTATATAAGTCTGATTTTATTTTATTTATATTCTCTTACAAATAATGTTGATCATTGTAATTATATTCGACAATAATACTGATGGCTGGAAATTGTCTTAAATTTAAATAGCTATATTTATATAACTTGGAAAAAATTTAATAGATACAGTAACTCACATTGTGAAGTTGTGTCGGAATTTATTTTTATACTATTATCCAATGTTACTTAGATAATTAATTATTTAATAGAAAGTAAGATTATACTGAAATATGTGATACACGGCTTGGAAAAGATCAAAAAGGATATGGCAGCTGATCAGATAGAGGAGATATCTCCTAATATCAATGAACTACTGAAATATATGGAAGAGATTGAAGATTTCAAACATTGCGAAGATGAAGTTCGAGCTGCTTCTATGCTGGAAACATTTGGTTTTTCATTAGATCATGTACCTGGTCATTTGTTAAAATCCAAGGAGGTAAGTGCAAACATAGTCTTTTTTTGTTATGCAATTAATTTATTAGATTTTGTAAATTATGCAAAAACTGCTAAGTCTAAGATTACAAAAAATGCAATTTTTAACCAATTTTTAGAACTGTCATAAAGTTATATATATTATTTTAACAGCAATTATTAAGTTTATTATTAAATTAAATTATTAAAGGATATATAGTGCTAAACTTCTAATACTGCGAAGAAACAAATTCTGTTTAATTATCAAGTTTTAAATAATTATATTTAATAAAATTATACGGTTATAAAAAGAGATTTCACCAGATTATTTTTATACAACATAAACGATCAAAGAAAATTTTATTTACAACTCGCGTTAAAAAATGCATTTTTCAAGAATGAATTTTTAATTTAACAAAAATTTTATTATTTTGTACGTAGGTTTGGAATTCATTGCTAATATCAATGGACATTGTTGTGCTTCTAAACAACCTGCAAAGGATTCACAATCTCGGGTTTCTTGTTATTGATGAACCAGCAGTCGAGAAAGTAACTGAACGACTTACGAATTCACAATACGTCGAAAAGAGTGCAATTCATCCGGCATTAATTTTTATTACTCTCAAAAATTATCAGTGTTCCGGAAAGTAAGTACGCAACAATTTTCAACAGTGCTCTATGTGATTTAAATAACTTGAAACTGTCATTGATAAATATGCATTTTTAAGATGTCTGACTTATGAAAAACGAAAAGTTCGAGAATTAGCAAAGAAATCTATGCTACCAGGATTTGATCCAAATATCAAAATAATGGATGCTCTAAACGAGGCATTCCATCTGTCATTTAAAGTAAGTTAATTTGATTTATATTGTTTCACAAATTATGTAGTCTAATAATTATTAATTTAATTGATGTGAGTTATCTCTTATAATTATTAATATAATAATAAATATTGGAGATTAATTATAAGTGTATTATCAATATATAGGTGAAATGATAAGTAGCTTATAAACTAAATGTCAAAATTATCTCTTTTAAAAAATATAATTATTAGTTTTTATTATTATAGTTTTTTATGATTAAAGCGAATTTACATATATGTGATTTGACAACTTTTTAAACATTTTATGGTAATATAAAAATCAATGAAATTAATGAGAGAATGCATATATATTATATTATTTTAAATAAATATTATGTATCCTATTTATCTTATTGCGATTGTAATAATATAACAATAATAATTATCACAATATATAATAATTTTTTAATATAATAATTTTTATATTATAGTATTTTTATAATAATTATAGAATATACAACCTACAAATTTGCGCTACTTAGTGACAATCAGCACAAATAAATCAATGGAAGTAAGCACCTGGCAAAATGGTAATATGACCGGCATCGAGACGGCTGCTTTGATCGCGTTGATACTTTTACGTTCCGAAGAGAACGTTACCATAGCGACGTTTAAGAACGTCGGAATTTATATATTGAATGTCTACAAAACTGATTCTTTCGAAGATATTTTGAAAACCTTAAAAACAGCGCCTCTCGGAAGTTCCAATCAGAGTAAACCAATTTTGTGGGCCAAAAAACAATCTAAACAGTATGATGTCTTCATTAACATTATAGATCAAATATTGCAAAAACATGATGAATCCCAGGAAAATCTAATATCGTACAAAGAGCATCTAAATCTTCCTGATACAAAGTAAGTGGGTTTTTTTATTTATTGAATTTGAATTTCTTAAATTAAAAAGACGAATTTCTTGGATTATCTAAAATTTTTTTTTTAGTATTTTACGCAATTTAATTTACTATAAGATTTTTATAATGCTTTTATTTTAATATATTCATAAGTATAAAATAAAAAAATTGATGTTTAATATCATACAAATTACAAATATTCAAATTGCAAAATATGTCTTGCAATAATAATGTAAGTATAATATGCTATTATATAATATAATTGAATATAAATTTATGATTTTTCTACAGATTGATCACTTGCGCCTTATGCTCTCCTTCACCATATCGTAAAGAACACTATGACCGACATGTCTTGACGATCAACGGTTTTGATGCTACCGTACCTAATGTCATTGAGGCGTTCGCAAAGGGTTTATTTTAGATGTAAGAAAGCACGATTTAAATTTCTATTAATAAATAACGTTGATTTAAAAACGATCACACATTAATTGCTTAAGTGCCGGACAAAGTCATTCTAACACTTTTGTATTATATTTTTGCAGGAGATTCTTTAAAACCATGTTTCTTCAAAAAGTCACAAATGATTAACCAAGAAGAAAATTTTATCCTAAAGCATTGTTTCGATATGAAAATGAAGGAGAAAGAAGCATATGGCAATTTTGGAAGTCAGTGATGAGAATTTATCTGGTTAGAACAGATTTTTCTTCAAAACTGAGTTTGATTAATGAGCATACTAATGCAGAACGTGAGCGATAATGGAGAAAAGTTACAGAAAGAGCTTTCAGAAATTACTTAAAATAGTGCCGAATTTTGGAATTCAAACTGTCTTGCCTTTTTCGTCAGTTCCAAACGTCGGCTTGTTTGCATATCCATGACTGAATCAAATTATATTTAATTTTGCTATCTGTTAATTTTTTTGAGATATATCCAATAGAGTATACTTTTTAAAACATACTATGAACAGGGACAGTATACTTTTTAAAACATACTGCAAATAGAGAGATAAACGATGAAGGTGATTGAGAAAAGTGATCGTGCACTATAATTGGCATGTAGATGATAATATTAATATTTACTACATGTTCTTAGTGTTAGGAAAGAGCTGTGTAGCATTTTCCCTTTTTGTTGATAAAATGATTAGGTATTTTTTTACTCCTATTCGGATTTATGACGATACAATTCAAATAACTCGGCAATTTTATTTTTAGCAAACACAGTATCGTATCGATCCGATTATATAAGCAATATATAGATTAGTTATGGACTATTTTTATTAAACTGTTGCACATGAAATCTCAGTTTTATGTTAATTATTTTTTGAGATATGCATTTAATTATAGTCCCTTTTCTCTCTCTCTCTACATTTGTATTTTAATATTGTATATAAATTTATACGTCTAAATCAAGTTGAAAAAAATCATATATTATATATAAAGCGTGATTTATTTAACAATTAAAGCTGTCGGATGTTTTACTATTTAAATCTTAGTTTTAAAAGAGATTTTCTTTTATTTGATATATAATTATCGTAATACATTATAATGTCGTTCTTATAAATTAATAGTCTCAAACTCACGCTATACGCACGCATGCATGCACTTCTCCCCTTCCACACACGCGCGCGCGCGCGCACACACTCACATATATACACATACGTACACACACAGTTATCTTTATCTCCTTATCTTCCGAAAACTCCTGTAATTGCCTTTACCTAAAAACTCAGTGCGGTCTGCAAAAAGTAATTAAGATTCTGCCATAAACATTTATTAAAATTAATTTCTCTATCTCTTAGTTTTATAAAGACACAGAGAATTGCTTAAATAACTTAAATCTTACTTAATTTTTAATGTTTATAGGAACGACTTGCATTATTTGGTTTTTAAAATAAATTTGCAATTGTAAAACTTTGAAAACTCGAAGTTTCATATGCAACCGTAACAATCTTATTTTGAAAACTAGGGAAAAGGAGTACAATTCAATAGTCCTATGTTTCAGTAGCGCATTACGCAGCGAAAAAGTTTAGGATAAGACTGCATAGCGGATAAAACGCGTATCTCAAATAACATACGGTGCATTTTTTGACTAATGGTAAAAAAATCTTACTCTAATATTATTAATTGCTTGCTTGTTTCTGGTTGGCGGTGATGCTTCTTCGTAATAATACGTATAAATAACGTGACCTTATTAAAAAAAAAAGTGACACGCTTCTGGGACCGGTGCGCTTCTGGACGGTTAAATAAAATAATCTAAAATAAGTAAAAAAAAGACAAAAAAAGAAAGAAGAAAGCGGAAGTCGTAGAAGACGGTGAACATAGGAACGTTGAAAATTTTCCCACTGTGATATGCATTTAGCCCCAAAGAGTTATAGACTTACATTAGTATAATTTTACTGTTACTATCTCATATTTGCCATATCCAAAGTGAACGTGAGACAAATACTAAATACACTACTGAATAATACTGTGATACGAGATACATTGTTGTTGTTCAAACTAGGGAAATGATATTTAAGTGACGCGGCCAGAAGCGCACCGTGTTTGATATTTGTTGAGTCTCTGCGCAAATTAGCGCGTAAATTTTTTGTTGAAAATTTTGTATCATATCTCGCGAGAGAGAAAAAAAATGGGCTTTCGATCTGAGGATTATTGTTATCGGGTTTTTCCCTCGTTTCTCGCATGAGACCACGGAAGCACGTACCTCTTTCATACACATTGCTAAAAAGTACAGCGTGGATGAACTCTCAGGTCTTCGAAACAAATTTGAACTAAGTGCTTAACTATTCACCTGTTCTTTGCAGCTGTCCCTGATAATCTACGGATCGAAAGCTGCTAACGTAAATTCTATTTCAATAGACAGTGTTCCGAAAAGGGTATATAAGTAGACTATTCTTTAAGCAATCTGCATTTTGCTCCTGATGAAAATAAAACTAATTAATACTACAAATTGAAGTCAAATTTTTGACGAGTTAGGCATGAAAAAAATTCAATTTTATCATTAGTTGTCAAGAGAAATTTATTTAATAAATCAAGAGAATTATAGTTCTTGATAGATTTTAAAAAGCAAAAGAAATCAGTTCTATATTTATCAAAAGGCATGTGTATTTTAAAATTATATATAGCAATTAAAAAGTACATACTAATTTTCCAGATAGAGATTTTAAGCAAAATTGCGTTTGCAACTCGGCAAAAGAAACCGTAATATTACGCATAAGTTTATTTTTAAGAATATTTTAAAAGAAGGTTCACATGAACGTTTGTTATTAATCTCGGTTGCGCAGCGTTCCCCAGAGATTTTTGTATAAATTATAATTTATCGGGAGTGAAGTCAGTATCTTTTACGCTGAACTATATTCCTATTCGAACTTCGTATTTTGGCGAGCATTCGCGCGCTTAGAGAAATTATTTATACACTTACTGCACACACCTTGTGTCTAAATTGTTCAGTGTTAGGAGAGAAAAAAAAATCTAGCGCATTTTTTTACGGAAAAAACTTCTTGCGTGAAGGCAAAACTTCTTTCAGAAACGAAATGTCTAGTTACTAAACAAGAGTTTAAGAGTATATACGCTACGAACATATATAGAGTAGCTCAATGTATTCATTGGCATTAGCAAGTAGGCATTACAAGTATTTGTATATGTACGGGAGCGTATTGCGATCGGAGAGGATTCCCCGCACTTCGTCTAAGCTCTTTTTTACAGACGCGTTTACAAGAGTCGACCAATTTAATTCTAAAATCTCTCAATCTCTCTGATAGCAATCTTATCATAGTACAAGCTAATACAAGCTCCGACCTCCAATTTAATCGCATAGCGTTACGCGAAAATTATATTAGTTATAATATATTAAATTTAGCTGTAATATCGAATAATCGAGAGTCGCGAGATTCGAGAAGTAAATTTAAAATCGGAATCCTTTCCGCTTGCGGTACATGCAGATATATGTATTCATTAATACTACTATTATAAGAATATATACGTCCGAAATATGATATAGACTGGCATACTGGAGGAAGAAAACGGAAAAGAAAAGCAAAAAAAAAAAGAGGAGAGAAGGAGAACAGTACAGCCAGAATCTGAAGAGAATCACTTCTCCACGCTGTTATTTCACAGTCCATTGATTTCAGGATGTGCTGTATAGTTGAACAAGAAGAAAGAAACAATATGTTGAATGTGTTCATGCTAGAAGAAAAAAAAAGAAGAAAATATTTACCACGTAAGAGGAGAAAGAGAGAAGAAAATAGGAAATTCCGCATTATGTAGTTATTAAAAATGGGAAACAAAGGGATGTAACGGGAGATCGAGAGACACTCGTCGAGTCCACCGTGGCACCAAGTGCTACGTCACGGTCGCGCTACATTCTTGCACTTCGCGATATTGAAAGAGGGACAAATTTTTGGCTTCCTTGCCGAAGACGATTCTCCGAGGTTCCGGACTGATCATTGATTTCGACCAGGAAGCACGAACGATATTTATCCGATACTTATAGTATTTTACGCGCCGCTGGACACGCATTATCAACCGTCTCTCGGAATAAATGTCGGTTGACCGCAAATCTGTATAGGACTAAGGACTGGAGGTACCACTCCGTTTATATTAGCGGCATTTCAGTGTGTTAAGTTATTAAAAAAAAAAAAAAAAAATCGCTAGCGCGATTATTGTTCGATTTGATTCCACACGTACTTCCAATTGTCGGAAGTTACATCTTGCCTCAATTGTCCGCAGATTTTTTTCCAAGAAAAAATAATCCGGTATGCGCGGACGTAATTAATCAGCCGAAGGACTTCCATTATTTTTTTTAACGTTCTTTCAACGTTCTTTTTCGCATTTCTTCTCAGTCATATGCAGACTTACGCTTGACTAAGGTATACATAAGTACGAAATAGCGTCATGTTCCTTAGGATTACACGAGACAAAACTTATAATTCCATAATTAGTACATTGTCGCTTCAACGATCTAGACAAAAAAATGCTCAATGCCCGTTGTTCGAAGTTTTCGATGCAAATGCCAAAAATATATATAAAAAAAAAAGAGAAAAGAGCGTAATCGAAGAACGGAACGATATTCAATTCTACATGTACAAACCGCAATGAAATACCTCGTTACTTATTCTCAGTGTAAAATAGCAAAAGCGAATTGTACTAACTCTGCGAGTTACGTAAAAAAAAAAAGAAAGAAGAAAGAAATTGTCCTTCTGGTTCGTGATTCACGCACTGAATGCCTATCTTTTGGCCTTATCTTTTTACATACGAAAATCCTGTAAAAGCGAAAGAATCGATTCACAGACAAACAATACCGTTCACTCACTGCTACCTGTTCGATGGTTTTTTACGTTTCGTGGATATCTGAGATTTTGAGATTTTTAAGAGATTCCCCGTTCAGTTCTCAGTACGCACACTGTGATCTCGTCAAAACCCTATGCCTTTATCGCAAACGTTAGTCAAAATTTGTGTCATTGCGGCCAGTACGCGTATCTCCTCGCGCTGTGAAAGAGATCAGTGTGTGATGAGAGATAAATCTTTGGAAAATCTCAAAGTCTTTTCTTCAGATTTTCACACAGTAATCGCAGCGCCCGAAATTGTATCTTGCTGCGAATTGATTTCAGCGTTTTTTTTTCCTTTAAGGATAGTATTATTACATATAGATTACATTCGTAAAACGATATATTACTCACAATCAGTAATTTATGGTACATCGGAATCTGCGGAAACAAAAAAAAAAAGAATTGTCGCGTACACTAGCTGCGTGAGAAAAGTTTCGAAACAGACCGTGAGTCGAAACTTTAAAAAAAATTACTTGTTTGTTATTTTCGATTTCTATCGTAAATTACGAGATTTCGATTTTAAATTTTATCAAAATTAATCTATGACCGTTGAAATTCTTCGTAATATCTCTTACATATTTTCGGAACAAAAGCGAAAACATATAATGGCTAAATGATCATTTTCGTTTATGATGATTGTCGTTATGATTATTTTCAATTATTTATCAAATATATTTATTGAATACATAATAATTTATATATATATATATTGTTAAAAATTAAGAATGTTTACTTTTGTCTTTGCATCGTGAAAAATATTTGATAATTATGTATTTTCATGTAATATTATTCCATTAGGTCCTTAAGGTGTTATTACAATATTCAGTAAAGAGATAAAGCACGCAATAATTCTTTCAAAGTTTTATTTCATCATAATTCGAAATCACGAAACTTTTCCAACGCAGCCAACAAATTTCCTGTCACATATATACGCGTGAAAAACATCTGTCGCGCGTGATTTCGATATTATTTTTATACCTAAGTAAATTTGTGAAACATTGTGTGTAAGCCCAGCGATTAAATTGCTCTGAACAAATTAACGTCGGAGTTTCACGAAGGAGCGAATTATGTTATTGTCATTATGTCTGTTAACGGTTGTATTTCGGTACACAATATAGGCGAATTAAGATATAGGGAATTGATTATGTCTACAAATTCCGTGCTGTTTTTGTTACGGTATGAACTGGATCCTTAAATAAATTTTCTCAAAACAATCTCCCATTGTATTTACTTTAAATTAGAAAATGATTAGCGAGTTACAAGCTTCGATTGCAAGTGGAATCTTATAATTTCACTTTTACAATTTAAATACTTTTCTTTTCATTTAAGACTAGAACATCTTGCATTAACGCTTTATAAAAAAAATATAAGACATTTCTAAACATCACTACGTGGTCAAACGATATTTAAGGAATGTTTTAACACATTATAAATTAGGACGTATTTTAAAAGTTCTTAAGGTCTTCAAATATTTGTGTTGTATTTATGTGTATTGAGTCTCAGGATCTATAGATCACAGGATGCGGATGATCGAATATTCCGATAGAAGTTACGGTTTACTGAAAAAATCTTTATTCTTGCGTTACTGATACACATATTGTATTCAAGCGTAGACACGGCTACATTGTACATAGTACGATGTAATTCGCTGGCAGCAAGCCGTCTCCGCGCGCTTCACATTCACTCTTGTTCAATCATACATACACATACTCACAAATATATTTTCAACGCGCTTTGCTTCGCAAATAATCGATCGTCCGATTATTACACTTAGTGGAGAAACATACAAAACAACTCAAAATAAATTAACGATGCCGTGGAGTCAGTATGCTTGTATCGCAAGGGGAGAAACGAGCGCAATCGAAAACGTTGATGATGCCGAGAAATCTTCAAAATTCTAGAATCAAGATTCTAGAGAGTATCTGCAATCTAAAATCTCACTTTTTGAAATCTGATGACTTCTGGACATCACTCTAACATTTTCTCGCACTTCTCTTGAAATGTACGTAAGACTTATGAGACGAAGACTTGTATTCCCACTGTACATTTAGCTTTAAACTGCCTTCCTTAACCTAAGTCTTAGAGTTATAAGATAGTCTATGCTACATATTATCTAAGTAAAACTTAGAACCAGACAGCCACTTTCAGCTAAACGTACGGCGAGAACATAATCTCGCGTGTGTACCACGCTCAGCCTCTCATAATGTATATCAACACTTCTGTAAAGTATTTGCTCGGAAGGCGAATAATCAGTCTAAATCGCGAACCGAGATGAGCGGGTCGCTAGCTTGCAGTTAAAGTTCGTCCCTCATATCGTCGTCCTCGCCGCCAGTGGGTGGAACACCGCCGCCCGCGCCCTGATAAAGCTTAGCGATAATTGGCTGAACGATATCGGTGAGCTCCTTCTTTTGCTTCTTATACTCTTCTGGCTCGGTGTCCTGATTGTCCTCCAACCATTTGATCTTCTCGTCGATAGCCTCCTCCATAGTAGCTTTATCCGCCTCGCTCACTTTCGAGCCGAGTTTCTCCTTGTCGGCCAATTGATTCTTCAATGAATATGCATACGATTCCAGATCGTTACGCGCCTCTACACGTTCCTTCAGCTTCTTATCATCGTCGGCGAATTTCTCCGCATCCTTGATCATTCGCTCGATGTCATCGGGCGTCAAACGATTCTGATCATTTGTGATGACGATTTTCTCGCGATTGCCAGTGCCCTTATCCTCAGCCGATACTTGCAGAATACCGTTGGCGTCGATCTCGAAAGTGACTTCGATTTGTGGTATGCCACGTGGCGCCGGTGGAATGCCAGTAAGATCGAATTTGCCAAGCAGATGATTATCCTTGGTCATAGGACGCTCACCCTCGTACACCTGAATCGTGACAGTGTGCTGACTGTCAGACGCTGTAGAGAAGATCTGAGATTTCTTCGTCGGAATAACTGTGTTTCTACAAGAAATAAAGAATATCGTTTTATTTCAAGAATTCTTTTGATTCAATCAGTCAAAAATTTAAATATTTACAGATTCAATAATATTCTTAAGAATATTGTTTTTTTTTTCGTGTTTACCTTGGAATGAGTTTGGTCATTACACCTCCAACTGTTTCGATACCCATGGTAAGAGGATTAACGTCAAGAAGTACAATAGCATCAGTATCTTGTTCTCCAGAAAGTACACCAGCTTGTACAGCGGCACCATAAGCGACAGCTTCATCAGGATTGATGCCTCGTGATGGTTCCTTGCCTCCGAAGAATTCCTTCACCAATTGTTGAACTTTCGGGATCCTAGTCGAGCCACCAACTAAAACAATTTCGTCCACATCCTTTTTGCTCATGTCAGAATCCTCCAAGACTTTTTGCACAGGCTTCAAAGTACTACGGAAGAGATCCATGTTCAGCTCTTCGAATTTGGCACGAGTCAATGTCTCGGAGAAATCCTCGCCCTCAAAGAATGATTCAATCTCGATCCTGACCTGTAATATGAAAAAGTATATTAGACTGATGAAAAAATACAAATATGTAATAATTAATTGACATAAAAAAGGCAAAAAAACATTTTTTTAAAAAAGACGGAAATAGTAAAACTAAATAAAACGTATAAAAAAAAACATTATATACCTGGTGACTAGCACTAAGTGCTCGTTTGGCTTTTTCGACTTCACGACGCAGTTTCTGAACAGCTCGGTTATCTTTGCGAATATCCTTGCCCTTCTTCTTCTTATATAATTTAATAAAGTGATCCATCACACGCTGATCGAAATCTTCGCCTCCTAAATGAGTGTCGCCATTAGTGGCAACGACTTCAAACACACCGTTATCAATAGTGAGCAAACTGACGTCAAAGGTGCCGCCGCCCAGGTCAAACACCAGTACGTTTTTCTCGCCGTCTTTTTTATCCAAACCGTATGCAATTGCAGCGGCAGTCGGCTCGTTGATAATTCTCATTACGACCAAGCCAGAAATTGTTCCGGCATCTTTAGTGGCCTGTATCAAAAATAAAAAATTATGTTTAAGGATACAGCAGACAGAATTAATTTATTACGATTTTTTCAACAAAATACTTTGAGAGATTTAAATAGAATATTAGTTTTTTTTTAAATCTTAATAATAATAGGTACTTTTGAAATATACGATCTTTTTTTCAAAAAGTTCAAAAATGATGAACTAAAATATCGAACATAGATTTCACCTGTCTTTGTGCATCATTGAAGTAAGCCGGTACAGTAACTACGGCGTGAGTGACTTTCTTGCCGAGATAGGCCTCGGCGGTTTCCTTCATCTTGCCCAAAACCATAGCCGAAATTTCTTCTGGCGCGAAGACCTTTTCACCTTGGCTGGTCTCGACCTTAATGTGCGGTTTATTGTTTTTCTCGATGACCGGGAATGGGAAGAATTTCACATCGTGCTGCACAGTGGGATCTGACCACTCACGACCGATCAACCGCTTGGCGTCAAACACGGTGTTTTCTGGATTTGTCGTCAATTGATTCTTGGCGGCATCGCCGATCAAACGTTCGCCGTCATTGGTGAACGCCACGTAAGAAGGCGTGATTCGGTTACCTTGATCGTTGGCGATGATCTCCACTCGACCATTCTTATAAACTCCAACACTAAAAACATATACATCTTATTAATTTATTAATCATAAAAAAGATATAAAAATCATAAAAAAGATATGAAGATGATAAAATATTATTTTTCTACAAATTATTCTTAATAATACATCATTATGATAATGTATACTCACCAAGAATAAGTTGTACCCAGATCAATTCCTATTACTGTACCAATATCCTCCTTCTCCTTGTCCTCTTTCGCAATCGTGGCGACTGCTAGCAGTCCCACTATCAATAGACTTATGACTCCCTTCATGTTGCTTTGTATGAATTATCCTTAAATCACAGAATTAATACTATAGGATTAATAATACACTAATAAGATTTAAAATTTTATGAAAAAGACAAAAGACACTTTATAAAAATTAAAAATTATTATAAATTTTCAACCAATAGGAAATAAAGCCCTACGATCAAAGCTGGATTTTGCTTAAATAATTCGGTGTATATATTATACTACATACCAAATCCTACGTAGTATATAAATTCACACTGAATTATTTAAGCAATTTCGACCGTTAAGGACTTCCTATTGGTTATATATTTACGTGTATCATTCAATAAGATTCTTATTGTTTATAATAAATTTTATTTATAAATATAATGTGTTATTGTACAACATTAATAATATATTAGTACAACACTTATTAAATTTCGACCATCTTTTATATTGATTGTCATAAATATCTATTTTTATATATCAATTATTAATTATTAAATGTAATGAATTAGTTATTCATAAATTATACAATTATAATTTAAAAATAAAATTTTGCACTGAATGACCCTTTTCATCTATATTTATATGAAAATAAATTGATTATGAAGAGATAAATTTTGAAACTGCTGAATAAACTGCTTGTAAAGCAAATTTTTGTCATTTTTTTGCATAATGTATCATTGCAATCATATATTTAGATATATGTCTTAAGATATCAGGTTTATATAGCTCTAGTAGAGTCAAGATAGAATAATTTCCTAATTTCCATAAAATTATTATGATTTCGATTTTTCGACCGTGGAATAACAAATGGAAAACAAATTAATTTTCACAAACATCATTAGTATTTATGAGTCAGATGACTTTCGGCTTGGTGAGCAAAGTCACACGTCATCTTTTCGAAGTGATAATTCCAGACGCTCCGGAGAGACTAAAAAAATCGCTCAATTATCGCGGTTGTTGCAATTTAACAAACACCCTTTTTATCGAACAAGACTGAGAAAGACGCGGGAGTTTTCTATAAGACTCGTAACGAACAAATCAAATGTAGCAGAAGGTCTTCTCGCCGCAGTCTCCAAACGTATAAAAAAAAAAAAGGAAAATACCGTATTGTCTGTTAAACAGTATGCGAACAAAAAAAACGCAAGAATACGAAGAGACACCGTCGTCGTTTGCGAGCGACAACTTCAGATTGACAGTGGGATGACAGTGGAACACCCGGAATTCCCGGGGGAACAGAAATTCTGGTTCGAGGATCGAACTCCGGTTGCCGTCGGTACGCGACGGCGACGGCGACTTCGACAGAGTGGAACGTCTCGACGGTGACAGACGAAACTCGAAGGAAAACGCTTAGCTCGCGACATTCAGAAGGAGAACTTCACTTACCAGTTGGACGTGTGTCTGCTCGGTTTCGTTGAATGTTCCTCGCGTTCTTTACGAATACGTCTAGCGATTCTAATTCTCTCTCGGCGAACGGTAAAACGACGACTGACACCGACACTGAACTCGGGGGCCGGGATATTAACGGGAGTGTTACGTCGTGGCCGACACCGATTGGCGAGGGCCGTCCGGTCTCAATGGAAGGCGGTGACGTTGATTCGCCGTTGCGTATACAGTTGGCCGCGCCTCGTTGGCCCACGTCATGGCTGTCTGGCTCCGAAGTCTTCACGCGCCGCCGCGATTCGCGGCCGGCCGATTAGATACGGTAGGTGGAACACGTGGACGCCGCAGCGCTGCGCGACGCGCCAGGGACGAAACCATCGTGTCCATAACTCCGTCCATCCTCTCACTCGGAACACTCCGAAAGTAAATAAATATCTTCTTGCGTCAGTTTTGCGTCAACGTTAATATTGCCATGTATCGTGATGTTTGAAAAATTTTATCGATATTTTTAAACAGAATTTTTGTTGTATTTAAAAAATGGACAAATTTAAAGTTCTGACAATCTAAAATAATCCGGGAAAAAATGTTTTATATATATAATTATATAAAAAATTGACATATTTTATATATAAGTATTCGTAAAGACTTCTTACTAATCACAAAGAAAATAGGTAAAATAGAGCAATAAGAGTCAGATGCGGTAATTGTTGCGCAAAACAAACAATGTGGATACAACACTAAGACTAATTCTATGTGCTTTTTGTTTTCTGTTTCTTGCTGTTTGTCTCATGACTTATTGACCAAAAAGGCAAGAGACAAACAGCAAGAAACAGGAAACAAAGAGCATATTGTAGAATTAGCTAGTTTTTATTAAATAATTCGCTTATATGTTTTGGCTCATTTTTGAGCCATCTTCAAAGACAAATTAATTTTCTAATTACAATATCTATAAACTAATTCAGTAAGTCACCTCCACGTACTTAGGGAAACTTTAATATTGAAAAATGACTCCAATGACAATCTAAATTGTGTTCAAATTTTATAGGACAAAATTATTTTTAAAAACCGAACGAATTTTTACAACACGATAAGAAATATATGTAATTACATATAAAATGTGTTCATATATATAACGTCTTTTCCCGGGAATGATTCTTAAATTATGATTATAATGGGTACAATTTTTGCATATCTTATGTTACACCCACGTCTTACATTTTGTTAAGCATATGCTATATATATATTACTAATTTCAAATTATTAATTTGTTAATGGTTAATTTGTTTTAAGAAAACAGATTCATTTCTTTTAAATGTGTTATAAATATAAAAATCTTATTCGAAAGAATTTTCAACAAAAGAAAAATGAATATTTTCGATGTTTAACATATATCTTATCGACAAAAAAATTATTTGAATAAACAATAATAAATGATTTGAATAAGTTAAAAAGAATATTTTAAATAAATGAATAAATAATATCATTTTTAATCATACAAAGAAAGGAAGCCGGATACATCGTGTTTGAATAAGAACAGTTGCATCAACAGTGGACACGATTGTGTTTCATAAGTTGAATCACTTTTGCAGGGATGTGAAAGATCGTCGCAAATCCTGGTGCAAAGACCGTAATAGAAATGTATATACATTTATCTTTTAACTTATTATTATAATTATTATTATCTGTTTTAATAACAGTATAGAATAAATCAGTTATTTAAGGAAATAATGCAAAAAGATATCGCAGCTATTTTTATATAGTTTTTGATATATTTTTTTCCGAAATTGTTAATTCACGTTAAAAACAATGTGGAGTAAATACTTTTATTACATTGAAAAAAGATACTTTATTTATTGGATGAAAAAAATATATTTTCTATAATATAAGATAGAACAAGTTATTATCGGATTGTTATAATATTTCAATAAGAACTTCTGTTTTCCTAATTTTTACATAAATATTATTTATAAATGCTTCAATACAAATTCTTATAAAATATTTGAAAATAAATTGTTAAATATATGTTCGTATCATTATAAAACAATCATAAAATACCAAACATGTATACTCCTCAAAAATATTTTATAAATATAATTATATAATTTTTTAATAAAACTGTAAAGTTTTTTATTTATACAATTACTAATTATTATACGTATTATAAATATCACGATGTGATACTAAATATTCAATTATACTGGATAACATTAACAATTTTTCATTTTAATAATAAAAAAAAAATTGTAAAGATAATTATCAAAGTATAGGTAAATCATATAAAAGTTTGCTTTAGTTTTATCTTATTATATTATCTACTGTGCTGTATTATACTATCTACTGTGATGTATCAACATTTTTAATCCGATATACGTATATATGCATTTTCCAGTTCTAATCTTTCAGTTGAAATAATAAGAATTTGTTTTACAAAATTACGGAAGTTTTGTATAAGGCTATATGGATGTAAAAAAAACAGATGATGACGGATGGAACGAGTTGCATCATTCCGATCTGAGTTTGCACCGTGGCACCATTTAGTCTAACGGTATCTACCCGTTACCACAGGTAACAGTGAATTAAATGGAACGCCTTTACGCATTGTACTACAACGTTATTTCACTAACACAGAAACAAATCTACATGTGAATGACAAAACGTGATATCATATCGCTGAATTAAGATTTAAAATAATTGACAAAGTTTGTAAAATTTGTACTTATTGTTAGTTCATTAAAATATACTTAAAAATATACAAATTAATTTTATGTATGTTATCCTACATCTTTCTTTTTCTATAATTAATTAACTGATATATTAATAATTAATCTATAATTTAATGATGCAATTTTATGATGACGTAAAATAATGCAATGTGCAATAATTTTCTATATAGGTTTTTCATGTTTGTAAAAAATAATTGTCCAAATGATGAAATTAAAAAAACAAAAAAATAATAAATAATTTAAAGTGGATTAATGTTTAAGTATTTACGACAAAGAAACTTTCAAAACTAACTTGTTAACAGATGATACTTAAATATTAATGATGTGAGATTAAGAAATAGTAGAAGCCAACAGTCACTTCAAATTGTTTGATAGGATATAAATGAAGAAATCAAAAAGGATTTTGAAGTGATTATCAAAGAAATTGAAAATTACTTGAAACAAATGAACGCTTATTATAAGTAGCCTTTAGTGTTAATAATCTTTAGGAACTAGTTTTTAATTCACGTCATGCAATATTTGATCCATATTGTCGCTATTCAACAGATGTTTTCCGAGCCAAAAATGACATTTGTTAGTAACACTTATGAATAACATTAATAATGTAACATTAATAAACTGATTGAATATTTAATGACTATTTGTTTTTCAATATTGTTGAAGAGTTTCCAAACAGACACCATTGCATATTCAAATAAAGACTGAATGTCCATTCGTAATCTTCATTGAGAAAAATTGAGACTAATTTCGACAGACATAAAAATTGATTAAATTAGATTGATTATAAAAAGATTGAAAACTAAGAAAATTTTAAAGGAATCTTAATAATCCTAATAATTTTAGAGAGCAAATTCTGATTGCAAGAAACAGATGGAGGATGAATGTTGTCTTAATATAAAAACAATTTTTGCATACAATTTTTATATACATGCCATTTAAATTCCACAATTTATTTTCTTATTTCATGCTAATTTTTAATTGTAACTAATTATAACTTGCTTTTCCGTTGCAACATGTCCAAAATTAATGGCGTAAAGTACGTTATGATACAATCAGCGCCCGCTCTTCTCATAGAAAGCAATATTTCGTTGAGTACATTCTCTAGGTTGATTGCACCATTTTGTGCACCATGATACAGCATAGCGTATTCTCCTGATACTTGATATACAAATAAAGGATATTCTGGATGCGCATCCTTTGTATGTCGCATTACATCCAAATAAGGCAATCCTGGTTTCACCATCAGCATATCCGCTCCTTCATTCACGTCTCTTGCCTTTAAAAAAATAAAATAAATATTCTGTATATTATACATACATAACGTATTTGCATATTATATATATATATATATATATATATATATGAAACAATTAAAATTTAAGGAATAACAATTATAATTATTCTTATAATGTAGGACGCACAAGATAAAATAAAATCTATCAAATCAGAATGTTTTAGAGACTTTGATATTTTATCTCTCATTCAATATCCTTTAATATAATTGCAAAAAATATAAATACTTCACTCGCAGTTCTGTATTGTTATTATCTTATAGTAATATGTAAGTGTTATAGTAAGAATATTAAAACCTTACAACAGCTCTGGCTGCTAATCCATTACTTCCAGGAGGCAACTGATAGCACTTGCGATCGCCAAACTTTGGTGCAGATTGCGATGCGTCTCGGAAAGGGCCGTAAAGTCCTGATGCAAATTTTACAGCGTATGATAAAACTGCTATTTTATTGGAAAATCCAGCGGCAGCTAGACCTTGCTTTATTGCACTAATTCTACCATCCATCATATCAGATGGTGCAACAATTTGCGCGCCTGTAATGTATCATTAACAGTTATAAAACATAATTACATACTTATACATTAGGAACAATTTTCAGCAAAAACAATCTGTTACCAGCTTTTGCGTATGATACAGCAACTTCAGCAATCCGCTGGATACTATTTGCATTATTTATGCTACCATCACTGTTGAGAATACCACAATGTCCATGATTTGTATATGGACATAAACAAACATCACATGCTATTAATAGATTAGGAAACTTTTCTCGTAATAATGGTAGAGCCTGAATAACAGGATTCCTTGCACTATCGGCATTGCTTCCAATCTCATCCTAAAATTGAAAGCTCTTTAATTAAATTTTTAAATACAACTCTTTTATTATAAATCTTCTCTAATTAAATATTTAATATTGAATTAAAGTTATAATAAAATATTAAATTATAGAATTATTTGACTTTCATAATATTCTGTACAGTTTAAAAAAAAATACAATATGCTTTATAAATGTTACCTTTTCAAGATATTGTGTTACACCGAATAATAAAACAGATTGTAAACCTTTTGCAACCAAAGGCTGTAACATCTTTTCTAACTGATTAATTCCATAGCGATATACACCAGGCATGCTATTAATAGATTCTTTAGCATCTTCTGCATCCCTGCAACCATATATAAAAATTTTATATATTGTATCAAGCATAAATAAATGTAATATGCATGTAATACAGCTTGGTTTATATATATACAGGGTATTCCATTTTATTCGATCACTTTAAATATCTGTTAAACAGTGCATATTAAGGAAAAATGTTTTAGATGAAAGTTTTGGGACTTTGAGGGAAACATAAGATGGTGTCATTGATTTTGGGTGACGTCAAGGTCAGGATAAGGTTCACTTTGAATTTTTTAAACGGAACTCCCCATTTTTCATTACGTATTCTTGTAGCCTACCTCGAGAACTTTCCAAAACATTGTAATTAAGTTCATTTTCATTAAGTACTTTTCGAGTTATAAAGCTTGCAAGTTATATATAAGTTATAGTATAGCACTGCAGGCATTATGCAAGTGTTCGACCGATAGTTGAAACATCTTAAAATAGGCACCCTGTATATTATATATAGGGTAGACACTAAGTATTCTACAAGATTTTAAGGGGTAATTCATCATACAAGTTCAAAAGACGAAAATTTTGTGACCATACGTTTGAAAAATGGCTTTCGAAAATACAGTTTTCAAAGATGCAGATTGTCAAAGATGAAGAAAAAATTTGGTTTTTTCTAAAAATTACGAAAATTATTCTGGAATTATTTTAATAAAACTTTATAAAACTGTATAGTTTAATATCATAAAAAGAACTCAAGTGGTTTTCAAAATTAAAAAAAAAACATTCCTTCAATTTTGATACTCTGTATCTTTAAATTAAGCTGTTTCAAACATATGAAGTTTTCATTTTAAATTTATATGAGAAATAATTCTTCAAAATTTTATACAGTACTTAGTATTCACCCTATTTGGATTAACATATCTATATGTTTAAACATATAGATCATATTTGACTATCTATAAATTTAATTAAAAAACATATATGTTTGTACATATCATACATATAGTAATCAGATATGCTACTTACGAAACAAATATTGGATACATAAGATTATTAACAGTGATCTCAACATTTGGTGACTGCCATTCTCGAAGGACAGGATGAAAAATTCCACTATGAAGAGTGTGCTTAGCCAGAACTGCTGTCATTTTCATTGTGCTCTAATTTGTTGTCTACTTGCAGTAAAGGTTCACAGTAATTCTTCTTACAGATAAACACCACTTGATTTTATCAGTCTGATATCTGGATGACTAATTGAATCTATACATAAATAATATAACTTATTAAAAGTAATGCAAATATATGGATAAGTACATCAATTACATAAAATAAAACGGTTACAAAAATAACTCAGCTACACAATAAGATACCTCTCGTGCATTAGAAGAGAAATTTCTTTAATATCTATTTTTATCAATATAGATTAGCTTTAATCTCGGTTTAACTTATGTTTTATCTTTTTCTAATGTTTCTACCAATGTAGATTAATTTTAATTTTGATTCAATTTATTGTTCATCTTTGTCTAATTCTTAGAATTAGAAAAAGATGAAATTATTTAAAACCACATTTAAATTATTTTAAAAAAAGGCATAATTCTAAAACAACAAACGAAGCAAGTTTAATCAAGATTAAATTGAGTTTTCTACATTGGTAGAAAAGAACATAAAATTGACAAATAATTGAGAACATACGTACAAAGTTCTTTACGAATAACGTGTAATTAATGCAAGATAATGTTTTCAGATTCACATAGTTGATGATTCGTGAGCCTAATGTATAATGAGCGTGACACACCGAAAATGCAGCTTCATGCCGCGCGAACGTGACATAACAGGGTTAACATGCAGAATACTAAAGAGTGTAAGTATATACATATATTTCTCATTCACAATACACATTAGAAATTTTTATCGCAAAATAAATGTGTCGAATGTCAAGAAAACAATCATTATTCATTATTTTTACAATTGACAGCAGCAAGTTCGAAATTTTCCACGAAGTTTTAAGCTCGTATCACATCACTTGAAACATTGAACACCATGATTGTACCAATTAGAACAAGGAAATATTTGTCCAAATCCCACCTCGGTGCTTCTTTGTTTTCAATTCAATCAATGCAAATCAGTATGATAGGAGCTTGGAAACCCATTTAAGTGTCACCGGTCACGACTGCCACGAGAACAATACGGCGCATGCCTCAACCTAACCCTAACTTCAGCTTCTTGATCTAACTAATCTGACCTAACCTAATCTGGACTTAGTCTGGACGGGACCAGACCATCAGACGTGGTGATTTTTTACAGTCACCTTTATGTCAAAGACGCGTGATACTCCGTGAACGATAGCGGCGCCGGAACAGCTGTCCATACCGTCAAACGTTCTCGGCTGCCTGCTACCGTCAGTGTAGTTTCCGCAAAGTTTCCCTCGAGAACGGCGTGGTAAGATCGAATAGCGATGACGGACGCATCGAATTTACCGGGTGCCTCCACGGGCCAGAGGGTGATGTCAAGGATGCTGCGGCAGCGGGCCCAAGAATTTCTCGCCTCGCGGAAGCACGCGAACAACCTGTTGGAGATAATCAGCCACTGGGACGTAAGTAGAACCATACCGACACGGTTTACGCGTTTCTTGATGCTTGAATTTAGGAAATAAACGAATTTAACGAATTAAGAACGTTAAAGAGCTCTGTTTTAATTTGTAGGAAGCTACTTCTTCATGCCTGCTCACAATAGAAACGATATTCGTGGAAGTGTTGAAGCGTAGTGATATGTATATGGAGAATACGATAGCCCTTACCATTTCGGGTAAGATTGAACAACTTGCTTTATTTTTTATGTTGGCTGTAGATGGACAAGGATAAATAGGAATAATATTTAAAAGATTATTCTTTTTACCTGAACTTCTTGCATTGTTCATCTTTTTTCTTTCTCTCTCCAATGTGAACAGAAAGGAAGGAAAGATGAAGTATAAAAAATTTAACTAAAAAAAGAAATAAGTTTTAAATTGGTAGTTGAATTTCTTGGACTTTTAATTTTTTTCCTTTTTGATGTTTAATTGTTTTTTATTTTATTTTAAGAAAATATAATACTGCAGCCACAAAGAATAAACTTACTATTTTATACATTTTGTATTATATACAAAAGATTTCTATAAAACTATTTGTTTAAGGATTTATATTTTAATATTGTACATTATATTATATATGAAATAGAACCTAGCCCAGAATCTCGCTATACTACTTGGCTGAGAAATTGCTACGAGGAAATTTGGAAAAAAGTACTAGTATCTATGGAGAAAAGTCGATTGGCTATTCAATTACAAGCCCTTACCACTGCAATGAAGCTAATGGCTGAAGAGGGTAAAGCTCTAATGGAGCCGCGCGATAACCCAGGATATCACTTTCCCCTGCACCGTTTAAAACCTATCCTCATGACTCTACTGTCTCCTGAAAAGGACAATACTAATTTAATATCAAGATTCCAAGAGATCACCAGCTGTCCTGATGTTTTGTATTATACATGGAGATGTCTACCTTCTCTCACCCCGAAAAGACAACCGAAGGAAGTTTATATAAAGAATCTTCTGGAACTTATAGATAAAATACCACTGCCAAAAGAAGAAGAAGGTAAATCTTTTTTTTTTTAATTTTGAGCTATTATATAAAATAATCCAATTATATACGCTCTACATAAGTATATTTCTTTAACTATTTTATTACGCAATATTGCAAACTCTGTATAAACATATGAAGCATTCCATTAAATGCTAGTATTGCTAATAAGTCTTCAAATATTTATAATGCTTAACTCCTTGATTTCTTAAGTTTTTAACTGAAATAGATTTTGTTGGCATAGTTTTTTGTTTATTAATTTTATATTTTTGATTTTGCAAATATAAATAGTACAATTAATGTTTGTATATTTCAGCATCCAAAGTATCAGAACATAAGGAACTTTTGTGTGGGCCGCAAGGTAATATTATATTAAATATAACATAATTTACGTTATCGCTATTCAAATTTTTATTTCATTAACGTATAATGTATCTTAAATTTTGTTTTAATAGATGCTGCATTTACGTGGGATCAATCCAACGTTAAACGCGCATTAAACAAAGTCTGGGCTTGCATTATGCACTGGGAATTAACGCCGCAGTTGCACAAACAGTTGCTAATAGTTTTATTGGAACGAGTCATATCGCATTTAGAAAAACCGATATTATTAACTGACTTTTTGATGGACTCCCTAGACGCAGACGGTCCTGTTGGAGTGCTCGCACTGCAAGGCGTATTCATACTTGTCACCAAACACAATTTAGAATATCCAAATATTTTTACCAAGTTGTATTCGATGTTTGAGCCTGAGATCTTTCATACGAAATATAAGGCTCGTCTGTTCTACTTGTCCGATCTATTTCTCAGTTCTACGTAAGTATTTTATGATTATGGCAGAATCGCATATATCAGGAGTAGCATTATATTTGTGCATTTTTATTGTATGACAAAGGCTACAGGACAGAGAAATTCTCGTATCTCTCTATTTCACCAATCAACAAGCTTGAAAAATTTGTCATACGACAAATACGCACAAATGTGATCCCATTCCAAGAATTGAGAAAATTACAGAAATTAAGAATAAAACGAAGAATCGAATATAATTTCATATAAAATTATCTGAAAATTCGACTTTTCTTTTTTTAGACATCTACCAGAAGCATTAGTAGCAGCGTTCGCAAAGCGACTCGCACGTCTAACATTAGTCGCACCACCAGAAGATATTTTGATAATTCTGCTTTTTGTGGGTAATCTGTTGCTTCGACATCCAGGACTAAAGAGGTTGATAGATCACCCGCAGGGTGGCGAGGCCCCTTCAAATGCGAGCACTGGAGCCGGCGATCCATTTCTCATGGAAGAACGTGATCCATTGCTGAGCAACGCATTGTTCAGCAGTCTCTGGGAGATCCGGGCATTGCAGTGGCATATTTTACCCAGCATCGCCAGCGCTGCGCGTTTCATTCGTGAGCCACTGCCCTCGGTTGAGTACGACATGGCATCGGCATTAGAACGCACTGGAGGTCATCTCTTTGAAAGCGAATTAAAGAATAAAGTCAAAGAAATCATGCTAACATTCGAAAGACCAAGCTCTATGGCACTGCCAAAAGGAGAAAAATTGTTGCAATATTGGCAGCTCACTCATTGATCCTGTACACGGCGTGATCGCGACGCCGAGAATACAATATATGAGAAAAGAGCCGTCATTGAAGATCGTTGGTGTTACAGGTGAAAAAGACTTTTTGTGTTTTATATGGCATATCTACAAGAAAAACAATACAGTATATTTTTCTGTGGCGTTGAGCATCTATGTTTGAAACGAGTTTGTGCATAATTCATCGATTATGATACAAACAAGAAAAAAAAAATGCACACTCGCTTTTTGTTGTTTATCTATCTCATTATATGTAAATTGATAGCTTATGTTTCTTGCATAAATTGTGTACAAGTGCGCAATACTAATTTGATTAGTATTTTTTAATTCTTTCGCTGTTCCTTACGTTACATTTTGCAGTTTGTTTGTAAGTATGGTAAGAATTTATGAAATTTTAATTCATCATATACGTTCTAAATATGTATGTGTGCACACACACACACACACACACACACACACACACACACACACACACACACACACACACACACACACACACATATACGTATATACACAACGTAAAAACAAATATTAACCTAATATTTCATGTGTTGTATAACAACTTTTTAAACACATTGATTAGCTGCAGAAGTGGAAGATCTGAGAACTTCTCTGCCCTGCAGTCAACAGGCTTGAAAAGCTTTGTCATGTGACAAATGAAATATTGGTCTGTCTGTGATTGCGATCAAGTAATTCTTTTTTCTTGATAATTTTATATATTAATAAATAATTTACAAAAAAGAATGTTATTTTTGTATTATTTAAAAGATAAAATAATTGTAATCTACATTAATGAAAAGTCTCTCATATTATTTTTTATTGTGTAATACGTGCGACTTATTTTATTTTTGACGTCAAATATTTGAATTATAAAGATAACACTTGTATATATTTATAAATACTTATTTCGATAATTATTTGTGATTAAATAAAAAAACATACATGTGTATTTATATTAAATTTTATTTTTTAATCGAGATCATTAAGTCGAAGCTGAAATAAACTACATGCTAATTCATTATTTGGGATATATAAAAATAGAATTTATATTTTACATCACTTTTAATTTTTCAAGAATCAACTTCTGTTCGGTGCAGCGAAAGGGTTAAAGGTACTCATCCTTTTTGATGTTACTAAGCAATGGGGTCGCTAATGGATAAACATTTAATATATAATATAAATAATTTGCATAATTTGCAAAATAAATGTGCCGGTTACCATACATAACATTCTCGAATAGTGATTTTTTTGTATGCAGTAATACGAGATAATAAACTGAGATATTTTAATTTAACAAATAACTCATGATATAGTGCTGTTAATATACAAAACTTTGTATTTATAACACGTAGATAAGCATAATTCAATTGCAGTTTTAATTATAATCTCTATTCGGGGTCTTATATTTCTCTTTTTATATAAATGTATTTCTATATATGTATATTATTTTTATCATTAGCCTTCCTTGTATGTCACAATTCTGTATATTTGCGCCTCATTGCATAACGTCTCTTATATGTATATACAAACGCTTTTATGTACATCATTTATATTAATTGATGAGTTATACAGTATCATTATGTATGATGTCGCTTTGTGTCTAACACCTGAAAAAATAGCATAATAAAAGGTTATTAATTTTGATTTAATCAGATCATTTATTTAGTAGTAATATTTAATGTACCTACTATATTATGTAATTATCAATCTTTTA